TTGGAAACAAATGATTGAAATCAAAACGCTTGTGATTTATTTGCGCAAAATATCGCCGAAAATAAAGAGTTAAAACACTAGTCTTATCTGAAAAGACACTATTTATTTACAACACGACTACAACTGCAGTACAGTTGGACATAATGTCATAGAATTTCATTATACAGAATAATACAATATTGTCAGGGTATATTTATTTTACTAACATTATAATGCCATGTAAAATAAATAGCAATCAATAAATAGTAAATATTTACCAAATTCTTTCATTCATATTATAATTATACATTGATCAGGCTAATTATAATTAAATTGAATTATAATAATTGATTCAATTTTTATCATATATCTTAATCTTAAATCCACAAAACATTTATTAAGGAAATGCTATATTCTTATAAAAACAGAGTTCAAATATACAAACAATTTTTATTACAAAATAAAATTCATGTTATTCTGTGATTGAAACATAAAATACTTATTTGTTTTGACAATTGTTTGCTATAACTCTAAATATTTAGGAAATTTGTTATATAATAATAATTCAATTTTGTTAATGATTTTAAAGGCTATCAACAAAATGATGCGATGAAATGAAATCTTTTTACGGTTATATTGATATTAAGTAAAGTCTCATCAAAATCTCCATTTGAAAGTCAGTCACGTCTGTCATTGCGTATATGATTTGAGTACTACTTTAGTCTAAAACAAGTGAACAGTTTTATTAACAATATAATAATGTTTTTATCTGATAATATTATTATTTATAAAATATAATGTAATCATATTTAATATAAAAAATTTCTAAAAATCATCTAAAGAAGCATCTGTATAAAATAATATTGATAATATTTATCACAACCTTGTTTAGTAAACTCTAACTTGATTATTACTATAATTAACAAGAATAATTTATTAGAATTCAAGTGCAATACAATTGGTTTTATTGAAAATTGGTACAGTATTTTTTATAAAAAAGTTAAATTTCAAAAATATTGACCCAATATAGGGAATTGATTGGAAATTTTTACAAAAAATATTTAGTGCAAGATTATTATTACGTTTAGTTCACGTAATTTAACTTTTATTAATAACTAAATAACAATAAAGAGACCTTCTTAAGTCATAAATTTCAAATAATGATAACAAATATTACTACAGAATTGCACACAAGCTCCATTTGTTGCAATTATTATAGATAAATAAAAAACAGTAAAATATGAAATAGTAATTCTTAAATTTTTAAAATAATTTATTTGATATTCCGAATCATTATTTAATCATTTGGTAAATATTTAAACTATTGAAAGAATAACTTACATTATGAAAAATGTAGACTAAATTAAATATTTCTAATGTCAATATTTGAAACAATATAAATTACAAAATATATTTAACATTCTTATTATAATTGGCTTTGTATAATTAATTTCATCAAACTGTTTTTAATACTATATAAGACGAAAATACTTATCAGATAATACAAAGTATAAGTTTATGAATATTACAGTTAAGCAATTTTGAGTTGAGGTCTTAAATAAATTTTATTTCATGTTTACTCGAGACATATTGATTGAAGCACTTATGCACATCACCTACACATGCATTCATAACTATAAAAATCAAATGATTTGGTTAAATAGTCCTCACTGTGGAAAAGTCTTAGTTTGAAAGCCGTTTAGAAATAGTTTCTATTTGTTGAATATGTTATTAATGACAGATCACCAGTAAATATGGTTAAAAGCATTGAAGAGTTTTGTGGACAAAGATTTTGGGTATATTTTAGATTTAACACATTTTAACGTTACTCAATTTTGATCATACTTTAAATAAACATTAAATTTTTTATCTAGTTAGTTAATATAGCTTATTTTATTGAACTTTAATACATCGAAATTAATAATTAAATATATATATGAATTTAAAATAATTAACTAAATTATAATCCTGCTAGATTTTTATTTGCCTTATCATTTTAGTAAAATTCAATTAATTGACTTTTTAAAATACTAATACTGTAATACGTTAAAAATAATATTTTAGTTAAATTAGAAATTTAAATATATGTCAGTGAATAATCTATACAATTTAATTGTAAATAAAATTATCAAAAATCCTTTGAGTATAGTACGAAGAAAAGAATGATAATATTTTTATAAATTTATTATACATCATATAATTAGTTACATACACACGAACTAAATAAGAACTTAATATTTAATATAAGTGCTTTCTTATAAATTATAAAATTATCTTAATACTATACAATTAAGATATTACAAATATAATATTTGATACCAAATGGATTAAACCAACCTTAAGTTGAAACTAAAATCAAATAATTTGTACCTAGAAAATTTTGCAAAATAAAACACTAATCATTGCAAATTGACTAAACAGGACAACAATCTGACCTGGTACACTAGTAGACCAGAGTTGACCGAATGCTTTGATAAGACAGCCCTCGTGTGGACCCCAACGATATTCCTCTTCATCTTCTCTCCTCTACTCCTCTACTCATTCATCCGAAGCCGTCAATCAATTGAATGGAATTTCTATAACAAAATCCGACAATTTTTGGCATTAATTCACTTAATTATATCCATTTCGGAGTGCATTACAGTTCTCGTCAAACACAACGATAACAGCGGCGATAAAATCGCTTCATTACCTGACATCACAGCGGGGTTTATGAGATTAATATCATCGGTAAGCACTGGGAGGAATGGGTGATCGAATTCATTATAATCTCATAATTATTGTCTAATATGTTTGTAGGCAGCAATATTTGTGCTATTTTGGCTCCAGGTGCGAAGGGGTATCCACACAAGTGGTGTCATTTGGTTTTATTTCTTGATTTCCGTCATATGCGGAGCGCCTACACTTCACGGTCATATCCATTGGCATCGACCAGAAGTCTACGAATGGATACTATTCTGCACATCATATTCGGTGACAATTGTATTGTTTTTCATCTACTGTTTCGCCGATACTTTGCCCCGAAATGAGAAGAAAGGTGACGAAACGAGTGCCAACTGTCCCAAAGACAGCGCCTCCTTCTTATCTCGACTTACCTTTCAGTGGTTCACAGCAATGGCTATCCAGGGCTGGAGGAAACCACTTACTGTTCCCGACCTGTGGAATGTGAGGGATGGGGATAATTGTGCCACAATTTACACACTATTCAACAAATACTGGCTCTCATTGGAGAGAAAACAGGACAAGAAATTGTTTAACAGACAAACCTCTACCCAATCTAACAGCAAAACTAATGATAAAAATGGTCTCAATTATAACGGCGGCACAAAACCTAAGCCGAGTCGACAGACCTCTAAATCGGACAAAGAGTTCGCAAAACCAAAGGTCGGGATAATGCAGACGATGTACAGAACCTTTTGGTTCTACTTCTTGACCGGAGCCTTCTTCAAGCTGCTCAACGATGTCCTCACTTTCCTTAACCCGCAGATCATGAAGTAATTCAATTGAAATTATCTTAATTTTAAACTTATTCTTAATTAATACTCTTTTATCTGAAGGATACTAATGGCGTACATAAACGACAAGAATGAGGAGGAATGGCACGGATACCTGTATGCCGTACTGCTGTTTGTGGTGACAATGCTTCAGATCCTGACACTCAACTACTACTTCAACCGAATGATGGTCATTGGGATGAGGATTAGGACGTGTTTAGTGGCCGCCATATATCGTAAATCCCTGCGTCTGTCAAATACGGCTAAAACTCAGTCCACGACCGGAGAAATTGTGAATCTGATGGCAGTCGACGCCCAGAGATTCATCGAAATGACAGCATTTATTAACTTGATTTGGTCGGCGCCCCTACAAATCCTACTGTCCATGTATTTCCTTTGGCAAGAATTAGGAATATCTGTGTTGGGAGGGCTGGCAGTCATGTTAATTATGATACCCATCAACGGCTGGTTAACCAAAGTGTCGAAAACATTGCAAATCAAACAAATGAAGTTAAAGGACGAGAGAGTGAAGGCTATGAATGAGATACTAAACGGCATTAAAGTATCATGTTAATTATGATACCCATCAACGGCTGGTTAACCAAAGTGTCGAAAACATTGCAAATCAAACAAATGAAGTTAAAGGACGAGAGAGTGAAGGCTATGAATGAGATACTAAACGGCATTAAAGTGTTGAAACTGTACGGATGGGAACAGGCCTTTATGGACGACATACTGAAGATCCGTAACCGGGAGTTGAATAATCTGAAGACAATTAATTACATCGGATGTGTTCTCCAGTGTCTGTGGTATTGCGCGCCGTTCTTCGTGTCATTCGTCAGTTTTGCCATTTATGTGCTCATAGATAGTGACAACCAATTGACGGCTACGAAGGCATTCGTCTCCCTCTCCCTCTTCAATATCCTCCGTTTCCCTCTCACTATGTTACCCAATCTGGTCACTAGTATTATTATGGTATGAATGAGTCCATCAATTCATTTAATGTATACAATTATAACTAATGTATTGTTTCTCATGAATAGACGAGTGTTTCAGTGAAACGATTGAATAAATTCCTGAACGCCTCTGAATTGAGTGGTTATGTGAGCCGAGACTTCAACGAGAAGACAGCGATTAGTGTCAGGAATGCATCGTTCAGTTGGCAGAAGACAACCGAATCCGATGCCACTGAAGACTCGCATCACATGATTCTCAATGATATAAACTTCGAGATCGAGAAGAACTCATTCGTGGCGGTCGTGGGGTCTGTCGGCTCCGGCAAGAGTTCACTATTGAGTGCACTGTTGGGCGATATGGAGATAGAGGACGGATCCATTAATATGTAAACTCGCATTTGAATGCAAACTGAATACAAATTCTTTTATCGCTGACTATATCTCTATTTTCAATTGTCTTAACAGCTGTTCCTCACAAAAAATAGCTTACGTTCCCCAACAGGCGTGGATCCAGAACTCGAGCCTTAAGAATAACATATTGTTTGGCAAAACATTAGACGATAAACGGTATCAATCGGTGATCAACGCCTGTGCCCTCAAACCAGACCTCGAGATACTTCCCGGTGGGGATGAGACAGAAATCGGGGAGAAGGGCATCAATTTGAGCGGAGGTCTCACACCTATTGTATTTAAAACTTGATTTAAAAATTTTACACCAAATATTCATTTGATTTTCAGGTCAGAAGCAAAGGGTGAGTCTGGCCCGGGCCTGCTTTAGCGACGCTGACCTCTACCTGTTTGACGATCCATTATCTGCAGGTGCGCTACACTTATTGATTACGGTTTATAGATAATTATCATTAATTTATCATATTTTCAGTCGATTCACACGTCGGTAAACATATCTTCGAGGAAGTGATGGATTCGAAGACCGGTTTTCTAAGGAATAAAACCAGAGTTTTGGTCACAAATAGTCTGACATTTCTCCCTCAGACCGATAAGATAATAGTGTTGAGAGAGGGGAGTATAGGAGAGACGGGCACTTTCGACGAGTTGATGACACGGAAGGGGTATTTCGCGGAATTGATTAATCAGTACTCGTCTAACAGTCTAAACAAAGAGGAAGAGGAAGAAAAGGGACCGAAGAAGAAGTCGGGAACCGTTAAGGAGACCAAAGGCGAGAAGAAGTTGGTGGAGGCGGAGAAGGCAGAGACGGGTCGAGTCAAGTATTCGGTGTATTTCCGATATTTTAGGGCCATTTCCCTGTTTTGGTGCATAAATACGCTCATCAACTATGCATTGATGCAGACATCGGTCGCCGGATCCAGTCTATGGTTAGCCGAGTGGTCGGACGCCACCGAACGCGGGGACACGAGAACCGCTTATTATCTGGGAATCTATGGTCAGATCTGTTATCAACAAAAATATATAACATTTTCTTAATCTGAATCTCTTATGACAGGAGCGTTGGGTCTAATCCAAGCGGTGTTTGTAACGTACGGCTGGTATGCTATGACTCGGGGCAGCATAAAAGCGGCCAAATTCTTGCACCAGAAGATGTTGGAGCAGATACTCCACTCTCCCATGTCTTTCTTCGATACCACACCACTCGGAAGAATACTCAATAGATTTAGTAAAGATGTGGACACTTGTGATGCAACACTTCAACAGACTATAAGGTGTGTAGAAATGAAATGGACTTTTACTGTACTGTAAAACACTACGATAGAAGTGAAAGTGAAACAAAGTTGTAGTTTTCACTTGACTTCACTTTTTCTTATTATTTACAGTGAATTACTGGAAAGTATTGAAATATAATTAGATTTATTCTATAACTTATACAGTAGTACAGTATTACTGTAATACTTTATAAGTGATATGAACTAAACTTAAGACTTCTATTATTTTAAACTGATAATTTTAATTTTAGAGTTGTGCTCACCTGTGGGTTTACCACTATATCCACATTAGTTATCATTTCCGTGGGTAATTAATTTTGCATTAGATTTGCTAAAAACCAATTTCTCAAAAAAGTTTATTTTTCTTATAGAGATTCCCATATTTTTATCGATTATTCTCCCGGTTGCCATCATTTTCTATTTAATACAGGTTTGCCTTAACTTTTTAATATGAATTTCATTATAAAAATAATTTCTATTTCATTGATTACCAGAAATTTTATATAACAACTTCACGACAACTAAAACGACTCGAATCTATCACGAAGTCTCCAATTTATGCCCATTTCAGTGAAACCCTGTCCGGTGTGGCCACTATACGCGCCTGTAATACATGTTTATTACTTTTATGTTTAACTATTGCCTATAATTAACATAACTTTTCAATTTATAAAAACATTCAGACGGTGTGAACGAGCAGTTCATCAAAGAGTCTGATGACAGACTGGATCTGAATAACGCCTGTTTCTACCCCAATGTGGCGGCCAATCGATGGCTGTCCATACGGCTGGAAATGGTGGCCAACTTTATCATACTATTCGCGGCTATATTTGCGGTCTTACAGAGGGACGACTTGGGTGCGAGTGAGGTGGGGCTCATAGTGTCTTATGCATTAAGTACAACCCAGAATTTGAACTGGTTGGTCAGGGTCATATCGGATTTGGAGACCAAGTATACATTAATTTTATAATAATTTCTATAAATAAATGTCAAATTATTGTAATTTTTGTCGACAGTATCGTAGGTGTGGAGCGTATCCTAGAATACACTGATTTGAATACAGAGGCGGAATGGCATTTGGAGGCGACGGCGCCTCAAAGCGGTTGGCCTTTCAAAGGGAATATAGATTTCGAAAGCTATTCAACAAAATACAGAGAAGGACTCGATTTGGTTCTCAAACAGATTTCGGTGAACATAAGCGCCGGCGAAAAGGTATTAAAGTATTGTTTTGCGAGTAATTAGTGAAAATAAAACTCAACACTAATATATAGATAGGAATAGTCGGGCGGACAGGGGCTGGAAAATCGTCGCTTACTTTAGCGCTATTCAGACTCATTGAAGCCACGAATGGAAAGATAGTGATCGATGGCATCAATATTAGTGATATTGGTTTACATCAGTTGAGGTCCAGACTAACGATTATACCACAGGATCCCATCCTCTTCAGTGGCACTATTCGTTCAAATTTGGATCCGTTTAGCAGCTATTCTGACGATCAAATCTGGAAGGCGTTAGAGTTGTCACATCTGAAGGCATTTGTCTTGTCTCTGGACTCATCTCTTGAGCATAAGGTGGCGGAAGGCGGAGAAAATTTGAGTGTTGGTCAGAGACAACTCATATGTCTGGCCAGAGCTCTGTTGAGGAATACAAAAGTGTTGATCTTAGACGAGGCCACCGCTGCTGTCGATCTCGAAACTGATTCACTAATTCAGACTACTATAAGGAAAGCCTTCTCCGAGTGCACTGTCCTTACGATCGCTCATCGATTGCATACAATTTTGGACTCAAATCGTGTGCTCGTATTAGACGGTAAGAAGTATTAATGTATTATAGATTTTGAATTAAACATCACTTTCTTGTGTCCATCTCTTCAGAGGGAAGAATAGCTGAATTCAATTCACCGGAAAATCTGTTGGCAAATGAAAACTCAGTTTTCTATTCACTCGCAAAAGACGCCGGAATTAAGAGTTAATTCATTTATAATTATTTGTGAACTTATTTTACATACTATACAAAACTAATATCAATTTGTATTAAATTTGTAATTTTCTATAATGTAGTGTATAATTACAATTAAAGACTTAATAAATTCCTTATTAAATTTCTGTAAACAGTCATTTCATACAATGATATGGAAATAGCACTAAATTTTGTTTTCTAAAATAAATCTGAGTTTTATTGATTACTTTGAATTTCTAAAATAATATTTGTTTTTAGTTTAAGACACTTCTTTGGTTGCTCTGCGAATGATATGCAGGCTTTACTCTTCATATCCTCCCTTTGTATAGTCTTTCCCTTCATAGCCGTCCTCTTCATAGCCGTCCTCTTCATCGGCGTCCCCTTCATTGCCGGCGTTTCCTTCCTCGGCATCACTTTCCTTTACCTCTTGCATAGGCTTCTTCTTAGGCTTCTTCGGTTTCTTTCGCTTATAATTGATTCCCTCCATGGCTTGGCTTCCGTCCCATTTCTCCCATTTGTCTTTCAATTTACCAAATTTCGACGCATTTTCATCAGTGAAGGCCTTTTTCTTCAGGAAGCCTACAGAGTCGTTGTACGTGGGGTTTTGGGTCCGGTTGTCGGGTCGCGTCCTTTTCTTCTCCGGCGGCTTCAACGCCGCCTCCTCCGCCGCCACCTCCGCCTCGTCCGCCAATTGTCTCTTAGATTTGATCCACTTTTGCTGAGCCCCTGTACCCAACCGGATTTGAGTCGGAATATTGACTCTCCATTTCCTTCCGGAATATTTCTTTGCAGACGTGACCTCTGGCTTAGAGGTCACCGGTGGTGGTCGAGCACTCAATTGAGTTTGAGATGTGGTTTGAGCGGTATTTTGGCGAACGACAGTCTTGCCCTGGTCTGTGGGCGGCGCATAGACCACCTGTGACTGAACACCCGGTTGGGTCCCAGGTGTGGTCAGAGCAGAGTTGTACCCCATTCCACCGATATTATGACCCAAATTGTGACCGGTTGGGACTAACATAGAGGCCATCGATTGCTGAACCATTGGAGGTAACTGCGAGGTGTGGGCCACAGACTGGCCTTTGCTGACAGGAAAGCCACCAATTAGCTGGGGGTCGACCACGAACTGTGCATTCGGCTGAATGTGGGACTGACTAGTCGGCACCGCACCCAACCCGTAAACTGCGAGGTGTGGGCCACAGACTGGCCTTTGCTGACAGGAAAGCCACCAATTAGCTGGGGGTCGACCACGAACTGTGCATTCGGCTGAATGTGGGACTGACTAGTCGGCACCGCACCCAACCCGTAGCTTTGAACCTGCTGTTGGCTCTGAACTGCCCGTCTGGCTGGGGGTGAAGTCGTCCAATCGGGAGGAATCTCTGGAATGGGTTTCCAGTCGTAGGACATCATTGTGCCATCATCCTGGGGATAGACGCGTATTTCCCTGCCGTCGGGCCCATAGTAGGCGTCATAGGGAATCCTTCTTCGTCCTTTTTCCTAACTGGTAGGCCTCCACCACCCATACCTCCTCCACCTCCCTGTTGGTTTATGGGCGCACGCCTAACACTATCCATTTTGGGTGCGAACTGACCCCCACCACCAGCCCCTGTGACTGTGAGCTGACTCTGACCACCAGTGGGTGTGCCGATCGGCGGTCGATAACCCTGATCAGCCAACTCTTGGTCTGAACGACCCTCTGCAACCCACCATTCATAGGCTTCGGGAGTCAATGGTATAAGGTTTTCATTTGGATTCATTGTCTTTTATTCCTACAACTGATTTCAACTCTTGAAGAATTACTGAAGACTTGTTGTTGACTTGAATTAGTTTTTAAACTTTTAAAAACTTTTTTACAAAAATTTAATTAGTTTTTTATTTATGAAAAATAATTGGCTAATGGATTGGGTTTTGAAACCCATTTGAAATATTTTGATTTTTAAACAATCGGAAATTAGTTTTTAAACTTTTAAAAACTTTTTTACAAAAATTTAATTAGTTTTTTATTTATGAAAAATAATTGGCTAATGGATTGGGTTTTGAAACCCATTTGAAATATTTTGATTTTTAAACAATCGGGAGACGAGTCGCTTGAATATGAACTCAAAAAACGGTGAACACCTTCGCATCACTTCCGGCACCGTTAGAGTGAGACTGTCCGTAGGAGGGCATCGGGTTTATCGGGTCAGGCGTTATGGGAACGGCAGCTAATTATCAAATATTCAAATAAACAAATTTGTTCCTAAATTAGGTCTTTATTTTATTGAATACAAATCAGGTCTCAAATAGCCATGGTTAAAATAGATGTATTATAAAATAATTTATAATGACATCAAAACAAAATCACAACAAATGTTTAGAAATCTAATCAATAATTAATACATAAATGAAAAGACAAAACAAATATTTAGTTTAAAAAGTTTATTGAATTTGGATTTTTAACACAAAATGTGATGCATTTAAACAATACCTGAGAGTAAAAATAATTTTTATAATCAAATTAACAAATTCATACAAATGTTGAGACAATAAAAAACAAACTAAACAAACGCTAAACCAATGGATCACTTCATCACTTCTTAAGCAAATTATTTCTCTTGAATTCATGAAAACTGGTCACGTCTTCAGCCAATCGGGCGATGAGTTTCATGATCTGCGGGTCGTATCTGTTAGGGAAAGGCATGCAAACGAGCGATTAGTATGGGGTAGACATGTGTGGATCAGTTGATGACATACTCGTTGCCCAAGACATTGATGTTGACGAATGTCTGGGCGAGACACAGGAGCCGATCCAAGGGGTACTTCGCCTTATGGGTGAGTATGAAGTCCCGGCGCAACACCCAGTGGTCTGTGATCTCCCACGACTTGCGCCATCCCTCCACTTCCTCATCAGTCAACTCCGCGTTGTATTCCTCGCCATCAGTGGTCATCACCTCTTCGCCGCTCATCCTCTGCACCAAAGATTGTCTTCAAATTGAAACCAAAAACACGAATAAAAGTGAAAAAATGAAAAATAATTTGTCTTTTGGTTTGAATTTTGCATTCAATTCAATGCATTGAGTGTTGAATACAGACTCCAAACACACTGTGAGTGCCATCTGTGGACGCATTCACTCAATGCTAACACTATTTTCAACGCTATTTGAAAAAGTGGTGCAAAAAACACGTGCTTTTGGTTTGCGTTGAGATCTGTTTGCTATTCATTTGGTTTGTGATACCAAAGAGTACTTTAAATCTTGTTTTAAAGGCTCACCGAAGAGCTGACAATCACTTTAATTATCACTTAAAGTAGTCTTTATTTAACTATCAATGGGAAGACCAGGTATTGTCATGTGTTTACCAGTGTTTGCAATACTTTTAGTAACACCTCATGTCTTAGGCTTTAGTCCGCGTGGCGGTGGCTTCAGAGGGGGCGGCGGTGGACGCGGAGGTCGTGGCGGTGGAGGCCGTGGGGGCGGCGGCGGAGGTGGCGATGGGAACAGCGGTTGTTTTAAATGCGGACAAAGCGGTCACTTCTCCAGAGAGTGTCCCACCGGTGGCGGCGGTGGTGGAGGTTATGGTGGAGGCGGTGGCGGAGGAAGCGGTTGCTTTAAGTGCGGAAAAGAGGGCCACATGTCCAGAGAGTGTCCCACCGGCGGTGGTGGTGGTGGAGGAGGCGGTGGCGGCGGTTGCTTTAAGTGCGGACAAGAGGGCCACTTCTCCAGAGAGTGTCCCACTGGTGGAGGCGGCGGAGGTCGCGGAGGCTTTCGGTATGTTTTGTGTGTTGTTTTTGTCGACATTGTTATGACAACACGTGTTGTGTCTGAATAGCGGCGGCAGAGGCGGTACACCACGTGGTGGTCGCGGAGGTGGTAGAGGCGGAGGACGAGGAGGGTTTGGCGGCGGCAGAGGTGGTGGCGATCGCGGCGGCCGAGGAGGTAGAGGCGGAAGAGGAGGCGCTGGCGGTAGAGGCGGCTTCCGGGGCGGGAAGAAGGCGATCGTTGAGCCGCACCAGCGCCTGGAGGGGGTGTTCATCGCCAGAGGCAAAGAGGACGCACTGGTGACCAAAAACTTAGTGCCCGGAGAGTCGGTCTACGGGGAGAAGAGAGTGTCGATCGATGAGGAGAACGGGAAGATTGAGTACAGGATTTGGAACCCTTTCCGCTCGAAGTTGGGCGCAGCCATCCTGGGAGGCGTTGAGGACATCCACATCACCCCCGGCTCTAAAGTACTATATTTGGGCGCCGCGTCCGGCACTACAGTCTCGCACGTGTCCGACATTGTGGGCCCAGAGGGACGGGTATATGCCGTCGAGTTTTCTCACCGTTCGGGTCGAGGTATGCGTTGATTTGGTCGTCGAGTTGTGGCCATTGTCTCACTGTTTGTCTCTCGTATTCAATGTGAACCACAGATCTATTAGGTGTGGCCCAAAAGCGACCAAACATTGTGCCGATCATTGAGGACGCGAGACATCCGCATAAGTACCGAATGGTGATGTCGATGGTGGACACGATCTTCGCCGACGTGGCCCAACCAGATCAGGCGCGTATCGTTACCCTCAATGCCCAGCATTTCCTCAAAATCGGTGGACACGTCGTCATCTCTATTAAGGTTTGCACACATTTGTGGTGATTTGCATTTGAAGTGAATGCTAAACGTGTGGTTTGTGTCCACTTTAGGCCAACTGTATTGACTCGACCGCACCGGCAGAGGCTGTGTTCGCACAGGAGGTGAAGAAATTGCAATTGGATAAAGTGAAGCCATTGGAACAGGTCACTCTTGAGCCATATGAGAGAGACCACGCCGTCGTTGTCGGCATTTTCAGGTCAGTTTGTGACCCAATAATGTGTTTTTGATTTATTCATTCATTTTGTCTTATTTCTCGACTTTCAGGTCAGACGGAAAAAATGCTAATTAAAGCATGTCTTCAATTAAATCGCTATTATTTTTCACTATTCCCTCAATCGATATATATTTTCGCATCATTTGAATGTCACATTAAATTTTATATGAATTTAATGAGTGTTTGATTAAAATTTGACATTTTTAATGCAAGTTTATTTTATTATGTTTAGAAATTGATTTTAGTGTTCATTGAAATAAATTAATGTTTGAGAAAAGTATTGGAATTATTTGTTTAGTAAATTATCATTGATTTTGATTTGAAAACTATTTCATTAATTAGAAAAAAGTCTTCTCGGAGTGCAATGTCCTTATGATTGCCCATAAGTTGGGCATAATTGGCTCATTATGTAGCACTAGCTATAGGCTATCCCTGTGATGAGAACCCGGAGTCCCCATAAGGTGTGAGTCTGGGAACTGACTGCCAGTTCCGGACCCGCGACCACATATGAAGTCAAATGGTAGACATCCGCGCTCTGGTTGAGGGCCTGGAGTTATGCCATAACTCTGTGATCTTCACATAGGCACAGCCACTCGCGTAACACCAGATGCGGGTCCACCCCTAGCACCAAATGAGGGAACTCCCCAACCATCAGATGTTGGATAACCCTGTGATGACCTGTAAGAGCCCGAAACCCCCATAAGCTGTGAATGTGAACCCGATTGGGATCTACTGCCGAACGGTAGGTATCCGGGTGTTGGCCGAGGGCCTGGTATTACCGCATATCCCTTAGTACTTCTCATTGTCTGTGATGTCCAGCAGTTGATCTCAACTTTTGAAGAATAACTAAAGATTTGTTTAGTTTAAAGACTAAAGACAATACTTTCAACCCATTTATCTGATATTAAAAATAAGTTATTGAAAACACATCTAAAGACTTGTTGTTGTGATTGAATTGAATTTGTTTTATATTTTTGTGATTAAAAATATTTTTGAAATAAGTTTTTAAACTAATTATTTGTTTTGTCTTTTCATTTTATATCTTAAATTTCTGTTTTAATGGCTACAAATTACTTAATATTTATTTTGTGCACAAATTCTTAGTTCTCTATAATTTAAGAAATAAAGATATTTTTTTAATTCTGCAGTTATTCTCACTATTAATACATCGATTAAACATTTCATGGCATATACAACACTATTAGATATTCTTATGTAATCATGACATGAATTTTGATAATTTTAAGGAATAAGAGAGAGAGAGAGAGAGAGAGAGAAAGAGAGAGAGCTAAGTAATCGTTATTATAATGTGTGCGTCGACTATATTCTGTGATTACGATTCTTGTGTTAACTTTGATTTCTCAAAACGATCTTTATTTTAGTTTTATGTCAATTCCCTTACACTTAAACTTATTTCTCTTGATTCTGAACAATAAATTTAATTTAAAACACGAATTGAAAGCTAAATGCGATATAATATACGAATAATATATATATAAAACTAAAGATGTCATTTAAACGATATATAAATTTCTTTATTACACAAAGTATTGAAAGAAATCTAAAAGAAACTTAATTTTCTAAATTAATATATGATTGAAATGAAAGCAAAATTTATTAATAAGAAAAAATAAATTTAGTTTAAGCTATAGACGTGTTTTACACAATTGACAGCTAATTAAATAATTGCAATAATTACATCATATAATTTATATCAATTCACAATTGTATTGAAATTATGTAAACAAATTGCTTTTATATCGAAGATTAAGTCATTAAACTTATGGTTATTATAAATATTGCTTACATTTACATCATAAATGTCTATA